TTTTCTCGGCAAGAATTCCTCAATAATCGTGCAAGAGAAGAAGATGAAGCCCTCCATAAGCCTACTTCCGACGCTTATACCTGCATTCGAAGCATTATTATGTAATAGCTGGAAAAGATCAAAAGATGATCAATATTCACATGGAAGAATCATCCAATGCTATAAATACAAATAATAATGATAATAATAAGGAAGTTTTATATAGATAAATACCACTTAATTCCTATGTATTTAGGTATTTACCTTTTAAACTTCAATTTTACAAACATACCAATATACTATCTTACCGAAGCATGAAAAAGATGTATTTCACTTTTTAAAAGTTAAAATGATTGATATTTTTGGTGCTATGTAAAATATTTAGTTGGCATAAACATAAAAAGCAAAATTCATGAGGTAGATGTGTAAATACATAATAATTAAATGCCCCTTTTTTAAATTCTCCATCATGAAGCCATGTGTTCCTACAAAAGTACTATAAATTCCATATAAATGGGACTATTAATAGGCTCTTGACCTAATTATTTCCATTCATCAGTAAACTTGAGCATAGTTTTATTTCTCAAACTTCATGTCAAAAATAAAATGTGCAGGGTCTTTCCATAAAAACCATCCAAAATATTAAATATAGCATTTTAACCATTTCAACTATAAATATTTACAAACACCCTCCTAAACCCACTCATGAAGATTTTGAGTGAAGATTTTTGGTAGTTAAAATGTTATACTTAAAATTTGGGTTGTGAAGATGTAAAATTTAATGTTTTGGATGGTTTGTATGTAAAAGCACCAAAATATAAAATGAGCTAAAAAGCGTTCCCAAACTAATTGTTGGACCAGACTAATGAGATATATATTGGCATTTAAGAGAAGAAAAAAAATTTAAAATAGGACAAAAGCAAAGGAGTTTATCGATTGAAACCAAGAGGGACCAATATATATATATATATATATATATATATGAAAGATGTTAAACTCAGTGCAAGTTTGTAAAAGCAAGAACATGGGGAAAAGTGACGAGATGAGCGTGCTCGAGAAAGCAAAAGAGGATAAGTTTGGGATGCGTGTAATTTAGTCGAGCTGGTTCAAACTCAACTTATTAACAAGGTTGCTAGTCAAGCTTATCAAGGCAAAAACTAGAGCTTGATCTCAAGCTTGTCTAGGCTTGGCTTATCAGCTCTCAAGTCAGCTCAACTAGCCGATCCATGGTCACGTGGCACTGCTCCAGCCATTGATGCATACTCTTGTTGAGCTCCCATGTTAATTTGATCTTTGGCTCGAGCTAGCGAGCCAGCTCATGAGCCTATTGTCATCATTGTGAGATGAGTTCAAGCTTATAATTTGATAAACAAGCAAAGCTCGAGTTAGGCATGTTTTGAGCTCGGCTCGACTCATTTACACATTTGGGAGACAAATTCAGCCTGTGGCAGCATCGTATAAAAGAGGAGAGAGCAAGTGAATGAGACTCAAGCGAGATCAGGAGGAGATTAAGCAAGAAAAACACACATTTGGAGAAGATGCTATGCAGGTGAAAGCTCGCGACAAGTGGCAGATGAAGGAAAGAGGAGGATCAACTAGGGATACCTTAGAAAGACAAATGAGCAGACACCATTTAGTCACAGAGGAGAAAATCAAAACATGGATTGTAGAGAAAGTATGAAAAAAGTTAATATTTGAAAAATAAATAAGTTAAAAAAATCATTAAAGGATACCTACAATTATTTCAAGAAAATAGATGAAAAAGGCATTCAGATAATACCTTGATTTGCTCTTGAAGGAGCTCTTATGCTTTGTCCTTCCAGAAGCATTATGACTTCTCACATTTCTCGGCTTTCTTTCACTCATCTCATTCTGGAATAATTCAGCCATCTCATCTTTCCTTTGAAGATTCTTGTCAGGTATTTTTGCTCTTTTACTAGCATTCCTCAAGCCCTTCCCAGCTTTCATTGATTTAGCTCGCCGATAAGCTAGTTCAACTATAGACTGTCCGGTTTTCCCTTTCAAACCAACTCTACCAAACTACATCAAAAGGAGAAAAAAAAATTAGGGGCATTTACATACCACCCAATTCCAATGAAGTTAAATATTTAACACCTAACTTTACTTTTTTCCATTTATACCATCCAAATCTTCCTCATCAAATAAAAAAGCCACTATTTTAACTTTTAAAAGAGAAATATACCTTTTCATGCATAAATAAGATGCCATACGAGTAAAAATTGAACTTTAGGTGTTAGACATATGTCAATACATAGGAATTAAATGGTATGTATGTAAATCTTCCAAAAAATAAATTAAGAGCAGTCAACAGAAAAAAAATTTCATGTTCACAAACATTTCGTGCTTGATTTTACCGAAAATTAATCACAGGCATTCATATGAATTGGAAGCTATTCTCCTGTTCAGGTTTTTCCTTATAAAAAAGAACTACACTGTGGACCAGAACACTAGGGGCCATTTATATGCACAGCACATAATTCTTACCTATTCATTCCTCATAACTAAGCTTTCATATTTACCCAAATAGCTCTCAAATCTTTAATATAACATAAAAAATAGCGCAATTAAAACTTTAAAAAAGTGAAATATACATTTTCAAGCATAGGTTTAAAGCACCAAAGTACAATTTATTATGTATGTAAAAATGAAATTATAGGGGTAAGATATGTAAATACATAAGAATTGTGTGCTAGGTATGTAAATTTCCAAAATACTTGAGGGCTACATGGAACACAATGCCAACGCTTACATGCTGATATAACTACCATTGAGAAAAGAAGAGAAAAAGATAAAAGAATGATGGTTAGAAAGTAAAAAACACCCAACTTTACTTTTTTTACATTTATACCATCCAAATCTTCCATATCATATAAAAAATACCACTATTTTAAATTTTAAAAAGTGAAATGCACCTTTTCATGCATAAATAAGGTGGCATATACGTAAAAATTGAATTTAAGGGGTTAGATATGTCAATACATAGAATTGTGTGGTAAGCATGTAAATCTTCCAAAAAATGAATTAAGAGCAGTCAACATAATAAAGATTTCATCTTCATAAACAATTCGTGCTTGATTTTACTGAAAACTAATCACAGGCATGCATATAAAATAGGAAGCTATTCTCCTGCTCAAGTTTTCCTAATAAAATAGAACTACACTGTGGACCAAAATACTTGGAGCCATTCATATGCATAGCGCAGAATTCTTATGTATTTATCATAACTAAACTTTCATATTTACACGCACTGCATTCAAATCATTAATATCACATCAAAAATAGCACAGTTATAACTTTTAAAAGTGAAATACATATTTTCAAGCATAGGTTTAAAGCACCAAGATGATATGTAGTAAGTAAATATGAAACTTTAGGCATAAGATATGTAAATAAATAAGAATTGTGTGCTAGGTATGTAAATTTCCCAAATACTTAACAGCTGCATGGAATACAATGTCAAAGTTTACCTGCTGATATAACTACCATTGAGGAGCACAGAAAAGAAAAAGGATGAAAGAATGATGATTAGAACGGAAAAAAAAACTCGATTAATTGGAAGTTTAAGCCCTTGCGAAAAAAAAAAAAAAACTGCGGAAAAGAAAGAACAAAGAGAAATATTACACATTTCAATTACTCAAAAGCTGAACCAAGCGTGATAATAATAGATATATTAAATACTAACAAAGTTCAAGCAGAGAAATTTTCAGGATAGTATCTAGACAGAAATGAGGTTGGCATGGAAAGAGTACAAATCTTTTTTACTTTGAATAAAAGACACCAACCTTTTCCAGATTCTCGGATTCCTCATTCTCTAGCATCTCCCTGGTAGCTTCCAATCTTCGCCGTTTCTTCCGTGGCAGATTTTTCTGTTTTATTATGAAAAAGGAACAGGAGCTTAAAAGAGAAGCTTTTAGAAAAAAATTAGAACAGATAATAATTACCTCACGCTCTCTTTTTCTTTTTTCTTTCAACTTCTTATCTTCTGCCTGCTGCGCACTCATCACCACATTACAGTCACTTTGACCTTTGCTAGCAAATTCCTTGAGATCCAAAAAAGTGATTAAGGGAATGAAGTACAGAAAAGAATCATCAAAGGAAATTAACAACAGTTAATTACACCTTAATAATGCAAGAAGACAAAAAAGCATTGAAAGAAACATAAAAGTAATCTAATGCAGCAAATTTTAAGGTAAACCTTAACCATTTGGATTTATCCAAAGCATCTATATTTGCAAATGTTTCAGCATGAAGAAACGTAAGTTTAGAAAACGGGAATAAAAAATAAAGTCCATATTTGATGAAATAACTATTTAAAGAGATGACAGTACAATTCATATGTCAACTGTATTGTACTTCGATATATAACTTCTTACAAATCGTGCATATTTGACCTAGATGACAGTACAATTCATGTAACTAATTACCTGTAACATTTGTAATAGTTATTTCATCTCTTTTAATAGTTATTTCAACTCTTAAAAGGTTATTTATATACCATCACTTCCATTGTTTACTTTTGAATCTATTTTTGCAAGAAGAGAAACTAAAGACCATATTGTCAGATAGATTTAGATATTTTTCTTTATCTATATTATCGTCATTATTGTGTATCCACATACCTTGCAATCTCGTGTACCTTTCGGCTTTTCCATCACTTATGTTAAGGGTTTAGTCCCAAAATTTTCATAAAAAAAAAAAAGATTAGCGTGAAAACAAGTTACTATTTTGTATGGTTCTGGTTATTTAGGATATCAGGTTCCATTCCTTCAATAAAAGGCTGCAGCTATCTGATTTTGTAACGTGTCTTAAATTCACTTTATACAGTATATACCAAAGAGAGTGAGTTTAGTCATGAATCACACTCCAGATCCAGTCACAATATCCAAAAACCTATGAGTCGTTTGGGATCACTTTTGATTTTGATTTATTTTTTTTTATTTTGTTTTATATTGTATATGTTTTTACCTGCAATAAAACAAATTTGGTGTGTTATAACATTCTTAGTTATATTTAAAAGCCCTAAAAATAAATTTTCGTATTTTGAGTGTTTTTAAAAATAAATTAATTTATTTTTGAAAATAAAATATAAAAACATGCAAAAAAAATCCTAAACAAATATATTTTAAAAATAAAATTAAAAACAAAAACAGAAAACATAAAATAAAAGTGGTCACAAAGAAGCCCCTACTTTTGAAGCCTTTGCAAGTAGTTTTTTCTCTTTCTCGGTAGCAAACCAAGTCTTTTTTGGGCGCGAAAATATATCCTCCTTGTGCTTGATCATGTTCTCTACCTGTGATTTCAAATAAAAATCAGCTAATTAAAAGAGTAATTATATAATGAAGAACAGCTTTACATTTATAAATATATAAATTCACATACATTGCACACAATTATTATGTATTTACATATATCACATCTAAACTTTCATACTTACATAAATAGCACTTTGGTGCTTTAAATCTATACATGAAAATATATATTTCGCTTTTAAAAAGTGACAATAGTGCTATTTTTTATGTGATATTAAAAGTTTGAGTGATTTGTGTATAAATATGAAAGAAGTTCGAGTGATTTGTGTATAAATATGAAAGTTTAGGTGTGAGATATGTAAAGACACGAGAATCGTTATATGCCCCTTGTAAATAATCTGATTTTGTTGGAAGAAAGCCAAAAGATTGCAAGTATGTAGAACCTTTGTTGCTTCCATCTCGACTTTTCTTAATTCTCTTTCTTCCCTGAAAAGAAAAAACAAACAAGAAAAATGTAAAGGATAGGCTCACCAAATGTAAAAGATTAAGAGCTAAAAAAAAAACCTCTCTTCCCGAAGAATTAAAGAGATTTGATCTTCATTTTCTTCAATAAAACGACTCCACTCAGCAATTGGTTGATCTGCAACAATTCGACTTTTCAGTTTTGAACCTGCTCTTTTTGCCTGTTAAGTGAGAGGGTTAAAATTAAACAAGATTGAACCACACATACTTCTTCAATATATATTTATTAGCATTAATCAGTTAAATCAATCAACAATACAGCAGGAAAGGCAAATAAAAAAGGAAGATTTACATACATACAACTGAATTTCTATGTACTTACATATTTAACACCAAAACTTCAATTTCAACATGCATACAAGCTTATCAATGCATGAAATGGTGTATTTCACCTTTAAAAAGGTTAAAATGATGATATTTTTTATGTGATTTGAAATATTTGAGTGTTAATATATAAAAAGTAAAGTTTAGGTGTTCAATATGTAAATGCATAGGAAATGGGGGGTGATACCAGAATCAACCTAAACCACTATAAAAATGAAAATATTATTGTTGAAATTTAAATAGATTAGAACAACGGATTTTTTAAATAGGAAAGAAACGATAACAAATATAAAAATGACACTTTAGTGCGACGGTGGAGGTGGTGGAGGCCTGTGGAACAACAATTAACTTTTGGATGGGGAGGTTGCGGAAGTAGTCTGAGGGCGGTGAGGGAGTTGCCGCAACAGGGTAGGAGGGGGGGTTGCGGCAGCAGGTTGGGTGGCTGGAAGGGTCGCCGGCAATAGTTGTGGTTACTGGAAAAGCTAACGGTGATAGGAACAACATAGGAAGGGTCGCCGACAATATCTGTGGATGCTAGGAAGACTAATGGCAGCAGGGACAGCCAAGGAAGGGGTCTTTGGCAATAACTATAGCTGCTGGAAGGCATTCTAATTCACCATGCACAAATTCACCCCTCTGGTTGTGCATTCTGATTCACCATGCACAAATTCATGGCACTTGCAACACTTCTTAGTTGTGATAGATTTAAGGATGTGATACTGGAGGAAACCCGAAGCACCATAAAAATAGAAGATATTATAGCTTTCATTCAAAATCGATTGCAACACAGCACATGCAACACACAACACCCTAGGGCAAAAATGAAGAAGGGCGGGCTGCGCGGAGATAGCGGAATCAGAGATTCGTAGAGGCGGGGAGGGGTTTGATGGCAGCCTTGAAAAGGGGGTGGCTGTTATGATGGGAGGAGCTCGCTGGGAGGGGCAGAAAGCTGCTGGCGTCACTTCTGGGAAGTGCTGGAGTGTGGTGCGGCAAGTACAGGATGTGGGAGGAACTGGTAGGAACTGAGATTGGGGTTGGGAACAGGTAGTGGAAACGGGTAGGAAGCGGGAGGAGCAGAAGGGTAAGGGACTGTGGACGGCACAGAGGGCTTACGGCTTGGGGTTATTGAAGGAGAGAGAGGGACGGTAGAGTTGTTGTAACAGCAGTGAGGGACAAGGAGGGATCTAGGGATGGAGGAACAGGCGGCTGGGATCAGAAGAGGGGGAGAGTTACAGGAAGGTTGTTGACCTGTTATAGGAATGATGGCTGGGAAGCAAGCAGCAACCTATCAGCGGCGGGCAGAGGGAAACTGGTAGTGGGAGGAGTGCTGGAGAGGGATGTGGAGTAGATAATCACCACCGAGGAGAGGGATAAAGCCGGAGCACCACCCTAACCATCGGATTCAGCCCTCGATGGAAAAACAGGGACGTTGGCGGTTGTCCACACAAACCTGAAATAAAAAAATAACACAAAAAGTAAAACACGTGCAAATGAGCAAAAACTTAAAAAACACGTGCAAATAGACGTGGGATGAGCGGAAAATGAAAATAGGAAGGCAGTAAAATTCACGCCTAATGAAAAGAGGGAGGGAGGGGCCGGTTCAGCCCATTCTCTCAACTAAACCGAGTCGGGTCAAACCAGTCCAGCCTTTGGAGGAAAGGCCCCGTGTCAGGATGCGAATTGGTTTTACATGTTCACCACTCTAAATCAGCTTGTCCTCTGACGGGGTCATCTTCGATTCTCCTGGGTGTACTTTGGCTATAAGATATTAAGGTTGAACTCTGTCTGTAAAATATGAAGGGTTACTCGGTGATGTGGTCTCTCCACTTCTGAATCCGGAGGTTTAACTTTGCCTGCACCCTCTGTCTATAGTAAGCTGGAAGGAGTCGATATTATGTCTCCCTCTTGATCTTCAAATTCTCTAGTTTTCCCCTTTGACGCTTCCGATCACGATCGAGGGTAACCTCCTATTGGCTTTCATCCTCAATGTTCGCAAGCCTCCGCTAAAGTTGACGAATCTCTCGACGTATCTCCTCCCGGGTATGCTCGAACATGTATCTCCTTATGGATAGGGTTTAGGGTTAAGAGATGAAAAATGGTAAAAATAATTGATTTAAGGTTACTAGTTTGAAAATCATCAAATGGGAATTAGGATTAGGGATATGAGATAGTGGAAAGGGTATTTGGCGGAAGAAGAAAATTTTTGGATTATTAGCGGAGGCTAGGAAACCCTAGGATAGGACTAGAATTAAACTAGCTCTGATATCAAATGATGCCGGAGTTAACCCAAACCACAATAAAAATAGAAATATTATTGTTGTAATTCAAATAAGTTACGACTCCTCAAACAAGAAAGAAATGATAACATAAAAAAAAAAAACACTTCAGTGCGACGGTGGAGGTGGTGACTGGCTACGGGATAACAGGTAGGTTTCAGATGGGAGGTTGCGGCAGCAGCCAGAGGGTGGCGAGGGAGTTGCCGCAGCAGGGTAGATGTAGAGGGTAGGAGGGGGGGCTGCGACAGCAGGTGTGGTGGCTGGAAGAGTCATCGACAATAGATGTGGGTGGTGCTGGGAAAGCTAACTGTGGCAGAACAACAAAGGAAGGGTCGCCGGCAATAACAGCGGATTGTCACCTCCCAAAAGAGCACTTAAGAGAAGTAGGCAGCCCGGGACTTAAATATCGCTCTTTGGCCCTACACCTAACTGATGTGGGACTTTTTGTCCTTGACATTCTCCTCCACCTAATCACATGACACTCTCGTCACGGATCGGCTCCTCCGAGAGTCTCACTGGACCATGAAGAGTTCACATATTTGACAGACAATAATCGGCTTTGATATCACTTGTCACCTCTCCTTTTAAGAGAGGTGGGCAGCTCAGGACTTCGGCCCCACCTAGCCGAAGTGAGACTTTTTGTCTGTGACATTCTCCTCCACCCAATCATACGGATCGGCTCCTCCGAGGATACCACTGGACCACGGAGAGTCCACACACTTGGGAGACAGTAATCGGCTCTGATACCACTTGTCACCTCCCAAAAGAGCTCTTAAGAGAAATAAGCAGCCCATGACTTAAATACTGCTCTTCGGTCCTACACCTAGCCGAAGTGAGACTTTTTGTTCGTGACAGGGAGCTTTAGCTGAGAAGACTGACGGTAGCAGAGACATCAAAGGAGGGGGTCGCCATAACTACGGCTGTTGGAAGGCTAGCAACAGTAGGAAGGTGGGTGAGGGCTTGTGGCTAGATAAAGGTGGGGTGCTGGAAAGGAGTCAAGGTAATTGCCGTTGGGGGTTGGATAGGAGGGCGTAGCAGGTGTGGGGTTGGAGAGGCGGCTGCAGCAGCAGAGGGTTACGGGATGGCTGTTTAGGGGTAAGAGGGGTTAGGGGATGGCTGGGTAGTGGAGGGGGGATTACGGGTTGGGTAGTAGAGGGAAGATGGGTTACAAAGCAACAAAGAAGGGAAAAAACAGAGAGGCCGTTGCAGTAGGCAGCAACAAGAAAGATTTGGTGGCTGCAGAAGACAGCAAACTGCTGTCCTTGGCGGGCTACAACAAATACGGCGACAGCAGTAGCGACAGGGAGGTTGTGTAGGAGGGGAATCGTCAAGGATAATCACCACCTCGAAGTGATGTACAAAGCACCACTCGTCCTCAGATATAGCCCTGAAAAGATAATAGAGGATGTCGATGGCTGTCCCTGATAGCTGAATCAAACTCACAAAAAAACATAACCGTAATTTAGCAAAAACAAATATAAATAAAGATAGAATATGCGAGAAACAAAAATAGGAAGGGGGGAATAATTCCCGCTAAATGAAAAGAGAGAGAGAGAGGGCAGATGGTATAGTCTCCTGCTAGACCGAAGCCTCTCCTGCTGACCCCCCAAGCCCCACATCAGGTGGTATGTATGCAAATGACCCAATAAAAGAAGAGCAGAAAATTTTCTGAAATTTACATCTGATGGATAACATTCGAAGATATAAACTGCAAGTCAAACCATTGTAATACTAATAAAATTTCATTTTAAGAATATCAAAACATAACATATTTCAACATTGCCGAGCTTTAAGTGCATGGATAAACAATCAGGGAAAATCTTACTATGGCCTTTAATAGCGAGCGATCACTATCAGTGACGAAAGTAACAGCATATCCTTCCCTTCCAGCACGAGCAGTTCGTCCAACACGATGAACATAGCTGTTTGTAGAAACATATGTGGTCATAGATAATCAATCTTAAAAAAAAAATTGCAAACGTGCAACATTTTACATGTCACAATTAATTTATTTTTAAAATATTTGTTAGTTACAAAAATAACCGTAAATCCAAAGAGAGGCAATCTAAATGATGATTCAATATTCTTCTATTAAAAACAATGCTAAGAGATTCACTACCAAGGAAAACACACAATAAGTAGAAATTTACGCACTTGCTGACAATAAAAGGTACCATAATTGAATAAAATCAATCATAAAATCATTTCAATTAAAAAATTTAGAACACCAACTAAAAGTGAATTTTTATATATATAAGAAGATTAGTTTTCGAAAAATTCTTCATGACTAACACTTGATGAAGCAGTAGACCCAGGAAATAAAAAAAAATAATGCCGCACCCAAGTATATCTTTGATCAAAATGATCTGAGTTTTATGTAAGCCCATTAGTTATAATTACATATTCACTCAAGAAACCCTACTAATCAATCAAAGCAAACGAAACATTTGCACACATTTGTTATAAACAAAGAAGTTGCAAGAAAGAAAAACGCATTGCAGAATATAAGCTGCAAAAATTGCCAAAGACGGCATTTAAAAGATGGAGCAATCTAAGGGAGAAAGCTGCAAACCATTTGAAGCAGTACAAGTCTTCATTTAAGTAGGCACAAAGACCAACGTGATCATAAAACAGTTACCAAAAATCAAATCAGGCCAAAAAAGATTGAACTTACTTTGTTTTCAGGCTTTTTTGGAGCCATATTATAGTTACGTCCAAGTTTTCTAGTATCTTTATCAATTCATTTTATAAGGTAAAATCATCTAATTTTGATAATTTAGGTTTATACTCTTTATAGGATCACTTGAATTGAAGATTAAATGATTATTTGGTTTTTAAAACTTCAATATTCGGTATTTGGTTGATGGTTCGGTTTTGTATTTCATTTAACCAAATAAATCGAAAAAAACAAAAATTCAAATTAAATGTCGATAATACACATGTAAGATATATAATTCTTGTTGTTTATTCATGACCCATTCCAAGAAGTAACTAATTTTTGGTTTGTTCAAAACCGAACCCCTTAATCAAAATTAAATTCAATTTAGTCAGTTCGTTTTTATAAAATTTTGATTGGTTTGGTTTTTCAGATTTTTTTATTTCGGCTGCAATTGGTTAGATGAGTTTTAAAACCAATTCGACCAAACCTACCAAATGCTCTCCCTTGATCTATGTAACCCAAGTTTTTTATAGATAGGGATCCATGCTATGTAATTAACCTTATTTAACATTGATATTGGAATAATGTAATATTTTGTGGCCAATAGACTTCTTAAATCCAACTTGGGTGCATGTAGGGCTATAAATGAACTAATACATTCGATGAAAAACTCAAACTCAGCTTGATTAGGCCTCAAACATGTTTGTTTAAATTAAGGAATATACAAACAAGAAAAATTTTTAATAGCTAAAAGTTTAAATGAACTAAACACGAATATAGTTGAACTTGCTTATTTATGTTCACAAACAAACTCATTTGTTGTTCAACAAGTAACTTGTTAAATACTCGATATTCAGCTTAATGATAGCTTGTAGCATACATAATGTATTATTTATAGGAAATTTGATTACCTATAATTTATAGATTTAACAGTAATATAATATATTAACAATAAATTTATATTAAACATGAATAATATTTATTTAATTATGGTGTTTTGTTGGTTTAGCAAATGAGAGTGACAATTCTAAAAGTTGTAGATTTAGTTGAGGGATTTTGAAAAGATAAGGAATTCCGATCTCAAATTGTATGATCCACGACTTCTTGTAATTGAATTAATACCGGTTAAATTAGTAACTTCATTTCTTAGATTTTTTTTTGTTGCATTAAAATGATTGGGCAACAATAATATGATATCATTAATATGTTAGATTGATTTGCCAGTTGATATAAATTTTGTTCTCCAAAAAAAAAAAAAATTGATGCATTGAAAATTAATATGATGGATTTCTAAAAGTGAACATTTTTTGTTCATTCTCTTCTATTATGCTTGATTTGAAAACAATTGGTTTTTCTCAATTATGTTTACAATTGATGAAGGTTTCACATTTATGAGTTTTTTTGTACCACTAGTTCCTTCAGATTCTTTTGCTCTTATTTTAATATTTCTTCTCTACCTTAGAATTCATTATTGTGATAATTGATACTAGATGATATCATGGGGGTCAGTCATTTGCATACATAATTTAGTCAATTGTTTATTTATTTAAATTTGTAAAATTATTTATTGAAATATAGATACTCGTTCAACTTTTTAGCTCGTTTAGTAGCCTCGTTCACTTGTCATTATAGATACTCGTTCAAATTTTTAGCTCGTTTAGTAGCCTCGTTCACTTGTCATAAATAAATCAAGTTCAAGAATTGAATAATTTAAACAAATTAAGCTTGAACAATATTTGAAATGTCGACACAATTTCAAGCCAAAAATGAACTTATATTTCTACCAAGCCAAGCCCAATTTATGATACACTCGGCTCAACTCGGCTCGATTACAACCCTATGTGCATAGATCTTACCAAGTTGTGTACAAAAAGTTTTATTCTTCTTTCTTTCAGTATATGCCAAAACAGTACCTAAAAGCCCTAGTAGTAGTAGCCATAAACATGCACAACAACGATGACTGGCGCAACAAGGCACAAAAATTTCCAAGGAGCCATAGCAAGTAGAGTATGGAGTGGTGTTTGCCAATTTAAACATAACGCAACATATTTAAAAAAAATGAATAAAATATAGATAAGTATGAGATATTATTAAATTGAATTATAAATCATTATGCCAATAAAAATAATAAAAGTGATAACTAAGTTCAAGTGCTCAATAACTCGACCATGTAATATTCTATTGATAACTTAGCTCTAACATGAATGTTGTCCTTAATGTTCTTCAAACATTCATAATCAATTTCCATGAACAATATTGTGCCACTAGCAATATTGTCCAAGCAAATCGACTGACTGTTTGAATTTAAATATATATCTAATACATATGAAAATTTGATAGCATTGTTATCTTCTTTTTGAGATTTTTTAGGTTTCAATAAAAAGAGAGTTTTTTGCTCCCTAAAATTAGTTTAAAGTTGTTGATGACATGTTTTACTTAATCATACGAACAAAAAAAGGAGCAAATGTGCCATCAAATGTTCTAAAAAATGTGAAGCTAAACAACTCCTGCCTCGAAAATTTGTTCAAAGAGACGAGGCCCACAAAAGTATTACCTTCTGCCAATTATATGCATTGATCAACACACCAAGGTGATGATACAAACTTGACGATTGGCCCATGGCATAGAGGGAGACCCAAGAGAAGCGGTGCTATTTTGTTCAAAGTCCGAGAAGTTAATCTTGATGACGAGATAAGTTATAACCTATTTCGTTCAAAGCCGGTAAGGTTGCAGATGAAAGTCAAAATTAGGAAGGAGAAGACACATTATAGGGAGGATGAGCAGCGACTTCAAATTTTGAACATGTTTTGGACTGGCACATGCCCTTATAAAATTCATTTAGGATAAAATAAAACTAAGGTGTGCGTGTCTATATACATATACATATATATATATATATATTATACCCACAACTCTAAAAATTATAAAGCGAACCACGGAGGCAATGGGCCACATATATTATGCGTTGCCATTTTAGCTCCCTATGTTGAAAACAAATAGTGACAGAGGTGAGCCACATCGCACCATGCAATATGACAATTAGCATTGTTGACATGCCTGGCCATAAGCCAATTACTATAAGTCAACCTAGGCCCAAATAGATCTAAACCAAGCCCATTTTACGGATTACATTCAAAATTAAAAATATACAGGAGAAAGAAATGCTAATAATAAATAGTAAAGTCAAATGAGAAGAAAAAAATTAACTGATACAGACTAGATGCAATTTTTGTCTTTCTTTTCCTTCTAATACCATCAAATGAAATACTTACAATCCTACAATTGTTTTTCTTGGACTAAAGCTTAAAGGCATTTTTTCCATGGGCCCACTTAGTTGTTTTTTTTAAAGCAGAAATATTATAACAAGAAAATGTCCATGGGCCCACTTAGTTGTTTTTTTTTTAAAGCAGAAATATTATAACAAGAAAATGAAAAGACTACAAGGATAATTAACAAGAATTATAAGGAAAATAAATAAATAAGCAAGATAAAGATAAACTAAAAGCCCAAGGCACTCTGAATATAACAAAAACTACAAAATAAAATATTTGGATTTCCGAGCTTTAAATCTAATGAAAACATGAGAATGGCGGTAAGTTTATTTTTCTAATTCTTACCTCACCTAGTAAATAGAATCTAATACCTCCTATCCACTAGAAAGTCAATACTGAAAGTAGTCTCATAAGATTATAGATCATCATGATCAACAATGTCATCATAAATTTAAGAGATGACAGTAGTTGATGCAAAGAGTGGGTCAATATCAACAAAGATGCGTGAGATGACAAACAGCCACAACCGTATGGCAAAAAAGCAGGCAAAAGAGCCTCTGAACCCAAAAGAGAACCTGAATTAACAAAGATGATTCTATAGTGTTTGCTGATATGAGTTAATTTTTTTTCTCAAGTAGATTATTTTTCATTAAGACATGGTTTACTTAGCAAAATTTTGGTGTAGACTTTATATGCCTCATATTTTGTCTTTTACAACATTTGGAAATATTTGTAAGCCATCACTTCATGACTCTGAATTTCGAGGAAACATTATCCAATCAGTATCCTAAGCTCGACTAGGCTATGTTGCACGAGTATTTCTAATTAAAGAGCAGTGCAATTTTGGACAAGACACGCCTCCAACACATATTAAACACAGCATAAACGTGACAAATTTAAATAATATTTTAAAAGGGACACGCATATCAAACACCCATGTCCTAAATTAATCAATTAAAATTTTTGAAGAAAAATTTCTACTTTTATTTAAAATTTAAAATTATCTCAATGTAAAATCAGATTGTGCTTGTTTTTTTCTATTTCATAAACTAAATAATATTTTTGAATTTCTTAGTATTTGAAAATTAATGTTATCAAATTTCTTATTATCTCTTCTTTATTATTTTTAAAAAATTATTTATTTAATTTTTATCTTTTTTATAATTTATATTAGGAAAAATTACATACATGAGACTCAATTCTTATGTATTGACTTATCCATGTGCCTTTGCAAGAAAATGTGTATTTCACGTTTTTAAAATTAAAATAGCACTATTTTCAATGTGATGTGAAAAATTTGGGTGATATAAATATAAATGCCCCTTTATATTATAATATTATATCCTATATTTTTAAAAATAGAAGTGTCACATGCTCGTGTTGTATTATGTGTATATCTCCGTGTTAGAATATTAATTTAGTTTCACATAAATATTTATGGATATATCATGAGATATTAATTTAGAAAATTCCTTCACATGTTTAGAGATTCCCTAACCCATCCTGACCGTTCATGCTAACTCCCACTCATAGCAGAACAACATTGGTTTTAAGTGGTGCGATGAATTGCCACTAACGGATTCCACTAATTACAATCACCTGTGTGAAGCATAAAGTATCAGATTTGTGGGATGTTAAAATAGTAGTGCATTTCAATATTATGTAAAATAAGAGATGTTGAGCAGGTTAACAGCACCACAGATACGCAAATATGTATGAAATAGATCAACCAAAGATAAATTTCTTCTACACAGTAAGAATGACAGATCATCATTAAATGGGAATCACTTGATACTTCAGAAAATATTTATATTTTCCTGGAGATCCTAACAGTTTGTTCACCAATGGGCTTTCAGGAAATATCACAACTTTAGATGAATTATTTAAGTAAAAAAAACAATCAACATTTAGAATTATAAGGCAACTGATGAAAGGATAGCCATACATACGCACAATAAATGGAAACTTTGACTTGCTAATGGACAACACAGGAAGGAGATGAGCATCATGTTTTAGTCAACATCAGCAGATATTAATTTCTTTGATGACTGATTACCAAAAATGGCAAATGCTAAAAATTTAAAAAATGAAATAATACGGTGAACAATTAAGTCTTATCAAGCAAAAAATCTCATACTAATGAAAATGAAAAAAAAAAAATACCATCTAGCTTGATAAAATCACCAGATTTGGCGAGAAAATCAAATTGGCTGTTGTAAAAACAGATGCATGGGAAAAATTTATGCTCCACGTTAGTTAATAATTTCATTGATTATTAAAAACTTAAATGTACTCCAAGGGAACTTAAAGCAAACAAAAAATATAATGAAAGAGCGTAGTAATTAGTAAATGTCACATAACGGCACCAGAATCCATTGAAAGGCAGTCAAATAATAAACTAAAATTTCCTTTTCATTTAGATCATCGCTTGAAACAATACTCATTTATATCTCAATGCCAGCAAAAGATACAATTTCGTTTCATTCTGATGTAAATAAGCTTCCAGTTAGCATAAAAGTGATTATCTCACCAGATCCAAAAAAATAAAAACTAGTCAAACTATTAATATGTTTTCATTAATAAAAGCTCTTTCATGTAAACAAACGATATAAAGATAACGTAGATTACTACAGCCTTTTTGCTGTTTCTCTATCAAAACATCTAATCTTCTTTTTAAAAAAAATAATCAAAAAATTTGTTGGATCGTTGGATCAAGGTTTTAATGTCAAGAGAAGACCATACCAACCTTGTGATATCACGTGGACATGCAAAACTTATAACTGTCTGAACACCAACAATGTCGAGTCCCTGGAGAAATAAAAAGACGTGCATGTAATGATTAACTTGAGAAGTTATAAAAAAGAAAGGAAAAACTATAGGAAAAAATAAATTGCATGTGTTGACTCCAGATAAAAGAGAAACTGGAATAAAAGCCTACATTAGGCATTACGTCTCATATGCTTATTACAAGCAAAAACAAATTAGAATGGGCTCTCATTTGGTTAATATATTGCAAATTGCACTGCAATTTGTTGATGAAGAACATTTCCATAGGCCTACAATTATCATATAAGTAAGAGCATGTTCATGATCTTTGGATTTGGAAATGTAAGGATTTTAAATTTGCTCCTATCATCATACAAAAGGCTTCGAGATGTTAATTTTAAGTTAAGGCAATTAAACTAATCCTCTCTTTAACAGTCTATCTCCTAATTGTATTCCTCTTCCTCCGTTGGTGTCCAAAGAACAACCTATCATCCCCTCCCTCCCTAATTAGTTTAGATTTAGAAGTTACTCAATTCATTCATAAAAATTCTCTTGATTTCATCTCAAATGGATATTCCATGTTACATGATTGAATTTCATAAAAACCCTATTTTTTTACACGAATCATAGAAAATCCAAAATTTATGCATGCTAAGAATTCTTCAATGTAAGAAACCCTGAAACAAAATGTATGAAATTGGAACCTAATTGCTCCTATCGGTTTAAAAAGCCTTTTGCATCCCATTCCTGGATTAAGAGATTACATGGAGCCTATGTCTTCTAACTTTAATCCTTTGATAAAACATTAACTTAGGTGGCTAGGAAATTAAAAGTAAGCTCAGAGGATATAAAAATAAAGAACCATTTCAAAAAAATAGAAATATGCACTGATTAAACAAATGTAAAGACTTACACGAGCAGCAACATCAGTTGCAATAAGAAAATCAACTTTTTGCTTCCTAAATAGCTCCAAAGCCTGAAAAGAATTACCAATTAAACGAATTATGCATTAAAGAAACCAAAACAAAAAAAATATTAATTAATTGGAGAGTATACTCACACGTTAAATAAAATCATATTATAAAATAATGAAAGAGGTGAAGCAGCTTAAAATTTGCAGAATACCATGTTAATATCTTAGTGGAAAGTGAATCATTGCTATAGTACTAGACAAGAAGTCAGAATTCCACTTAATACATTATCCTTTAATTTGTTAAACCTTTGCAAATTTGATGCGATAAAAAAAAGTTTTTACTATATCATATACATGGAAGTGATCATAAAGCACTAAATAGTCCTCTTTCAAGCTCATGGTAATTCATTTCTAAAGAAGCAATAACTAAAAGGAGTACTACTAAACATAAAAAAAGAACAAAACTACTTATTCATTCAATCATTAAAAAAAATAATAATAATAGTTTTCATCAAGGGATCCTATCAGGTACTAACAAACATTTAAACCTAAACATATTCTTATTAAAGAAAAAAAACCATAATAAAATAATTCAAATTTAAAAAGTAAGAGAGAGAAAGTAAATATTAAAACAGGACCAAAAAATGTTTAAAATGGCTCAATTCAAATCTGTTGTGAACTTCTACTTTTAGTAACTGGCCTATGGAAATGTGCACTGGATTTTTTGGACCAATTTGGTCCATTCAAAGGTCTATACTAAATAAAATCCCCTGAGATGAAAGAGCTCTCCTCCACAGAGCAAGGATTGATATAATCACCCAAGAGTACAAAATTGGACTGACATAGGAATTTTTAGTAAATTTGAACAGACACCTCAAATTGTTGAGAGAAGATGATCTCACGAGGGTACATCATTGGAAGAACTGTCAAACCTGATGGTACATATAGTAAGCTCAAAGCTATAAATATTTTTATTTTTGCATCTTACAAAAGATCCGTGATAATGCTTGCAAAATCAAACTTACAGCTACAATGAATATTTTTTATCTTTTTAATATTGCTAATACATTTGAGTACTTCTCTCTAGATGAATAATTCTTACAATGATCAGACTCCAGAGGGAATCTTTCTTAAGTGGGGGAATTGATGCATTAAAACACTACATGGATAGGTGACTAATTTTAATTTCAAATTAATATAATTTGAATTTTTGGTTTTTCTTTTCCTTTTTCAATTATTTGGTTTGTTTTGTATTTTCCTATTTTGTTTTCTCTTTCCTCTCTTCGGAGGAAGGCCTAAAAATAGGACCTATGGCTGAAGGGAAGGGAGATCAAATTAGATTAGAGTTGTTTATTATTTTTATTTATTTTTCTCGCATGTTATCCGTATCAACATATTTTAAATCAGTTTCTCGAACTCCGAAGGTTCGAAATCCTAATGGTGATTCTAGAAACTTAACATTCTTGCAACCTCCATTAATTCAGAAATATGACCTGTATACCAAGTAAATCAATGAAGATTGTTATTATGATATCCAAGTTCTCCAAATAAGCTTCAACATAACAATGGATTATCAGGAATCAAGACCCTTGCTAGCCTACTGACAATCCTTCTTGCATTTTTGCAAGATTCTCAAGATATGCAAGTTGCTGTTTTAGGTTACTAAAGCATTGTCTACTCCACTCGCAAAGTACATGTTGAGCTGGTACTGTAAATGCTACTACTTTCATATAACTATGTGTATCTTCAGAGGAATGATAAAATAATGATGCATAAATTCATTCATAGTAATATTCGAATCCAAAGCTTCAATATTTTCCTTATGTTCAACCTACAAAATTTAGTAAATAAAAGATGCCTAGAGATCAGCTGCAAAGCCTCCTCCACCATAAAAACCAAATTCTGAGAAAGGGCCTTTATATGACTTTTCACATGAAAAATTAACAACCCAAAATGAATTGATGTAGTATGCAGCAAGTATTAATCTAGATTGTTTATAGAATATTCTAGTGTTTTGAATTATTTAAGGATTGTATTTAATGTTAATATGGTCTTTATTTTGAATTAGATGATAGTATTTTTAGAACCTACATGGATTTTGAATTCAAATTAATTTGACTTTAATTTACAACTTCTATAAATAAGGATTGAAGGGCTGCTATTTTGATATTAAAATGTAAATGAAAAGTGAAGGATCCCCTCCTCACTACTCACTCTCCTCTCTACCTGCATCGAGCTTGTCTTACACCCATAGGTTTCTTTTTTCTTTCTTCTTATACAAAAATTTACTCATCGCCTTCATAGCACACAATTCCCAATACACTCAACAATGGAACTTATCTCCAGGTAGAATTCCATAGATGTTTTGTTGATTCCCCCCTCCCTCCCTCTCACCTACTCATCAAACTAAAACTTAAGGAAACATAAAGGTAAAATAACGACAAGCAGAAAGTAAATGTCCATAATGGCCTAGCATCAAATTGGCATCATATTAATTACCAATGTACATTAGGAAGAGTATGATAAATTTCAACTGAAAGAAGAAAGAGATGGAGAATTTATTATGTGACTGAAGAAGAGGATGATAAACTATTTATTCTGTTTGATCAATAATGATTATAAACAACTCTATTTATTTTAATAGCTGATGGTTTGAATTTAGTTTTTTATCAATTAAAAATAACGTTCAATGTTTCAATTTTAAATTTTGATATAGTATGTATTTGCAGATCTAGAATACAATTTTTGAATTTGACATAATATATACTTGTAGATCTCTAAATCACATCGATGCACTTATTATATGCTTGAATTCTATAACTTAGCAAACTTACAATAATTTTCAGGATGAATTTTGAATGTGCACAGTGGCCTTCAAACTAGGCATGCACATCAAAAACTTGTTTTGTGATTTTAATTTCAATTATTAACAAAATTTATTTGTTTAGCCTTAATGTAATTTATTTTGCACAACTCTACTTTATAATATATTCATGCTCTATTATTAATGTGGTACGTTATATTTAATTCTTTACATCTCTATATAATTCACTATCAGCAACTTAATGTGAGTAGCATACACACAAAGAATAGGTAGGCCGGATATATAAATATTGAACACTATTATTACTGAGATCCAGATTTGCTTTGCAAGTTGTGCTTCCAAATAGTAAAAATCTGCATGCCAGATTAAAACTTGTAGGGGTATTTACATACATACCACACAATTCTTATGTATTTACATATCTAATGCTTACACTTTCATATTTACATTTATAATACTAAAATATTTAACATCGCATAAAAAATACCATTATTATTAACTTTTTTAAAGTGAAATACGCTTTTTTATGAATAATTTTTTGACACTAAAGTGTTATAAGTGTAAATATCAAGTTTTAGGTTTTCAGATATGCAAATACATAAGAATTGTGTGCAAAATATATAAATTTCCCAAACTTTTAAATTGAAGACGATGTGTACTCATGTTCATATAGAAACAACTATTAAGAGCATTAAGCATATTTTTTTTCCACAAACTGCATTCAATTAACAAAGTGAATCTTAATTGACAAGATTTTGATTAAAAAAATCAGGAAATCTATAAAATTCCAGCCGAGTAATTAAATACAAAGTCAAAACAGGAAGTGCGGATTTGCAGTTTGATAAGTTAATGAAATTATAAGACAAATTAAAGATCTTGTGCTCTAGCTTTGCACCACTTAAGAAATACAAGCACAAAATATAGCAGCAACAAATAATTATAGCTAATTTGCAGCAAACTCTTTAAATAGCCTGCTAACAGTATTACTGTGTCGCTAATCAATTTTTAATGAACCACTTAAATCATAAAAGATACTCACATCAAGACGCTGAACTTGGGTGAGATTACCATGAAGCTCTGCTGCTTTCAACCCAGCCAAACCGAATATAATCTTTAATCTATGAGCTTCTAGCTTAGTTCCGCTGCCATTAAAATAAAAATAAGTAAACAAACACAAAAAAGTAATATCATAAAAGTATCACATAAAAAATAGCATGAAAAATATGACAAAAAATGCAAAGCAAAAAAAGTAGCATGAGTTTTGTGATTGTTAAAAAGTATACAAATTGTGTAAATCAAATATGAGAGGAAAGGAAATGGAAGTATTCGATTAAACCTTATTAATATTCAAGAGTTAATGACGATGAAATCATGTTTAATACAGCTTGACACACACACTAACAATGCAACCAAGATTAGAGGCATCAATAGTATTGCTATATTAATAGGATAATACCTGAAAATTATCACCTTCTCGGTGAAGGTCTTGAAACAAAGTGCAAGCAGAACAGCCTCCTGGTTTGCTTCGCGTATACGCCGTATCCTAACTATTCTGTGCGAGAGAAAACTTGTTAGTCAGAAAAGCTATATACAGCACATTTAAGATAGAGAGTACGATAAGTTTTATATAAATATCTGATATGCACTATCGACTTAGAAAGATCACAACCAAAAATAACTAAGAATCTAAAAGAAGCGTACAGAAGTAAAGCTCATGACCAGAAGAACAGGAAGTAAAGCACTAGTTTAGCATAGAAGTCTGCTTGTCGTAACATACTCTGAAAATCTTAATAATCATCGAGACGTAAAACCGGAAGAAAGAAAAGTCCAAAGTTCATTGACCGGGGATGAACCGGAAGACATAATAAATATTAAAAAGTCCAAAGTTCATTGATTTGACCGGGGATGAACCGGAAGACATAATAAATATTAAAATTAATTAAATATGGCCAAAATAATATAATAACAATATAACAAATTGATAATACATAAATTTTTGGGCTAGATTTATAAACAAGCGGAACACGAATAAGTATTTGTTTGTTCGTATTCGGCTTGTTTGACTTGAAATAATTAAATAATTAAATAATTAAATAATAATATTTATTTATATCTTTTTATGTTAATTTTTTATATGTATTAAACAAATGCTAAAGTTTTTTATTTTTAAAAATTATTTAAGTGGTACAATTATAAAAAATACAAATTTAGGTGTCAGATAGGTAAATAAGTAAGATTTGAGTGGTATGCATGTAAATATTCTTAAAATATAAAAAAATACAAATTTAGGTGCTGGATATGTAAATGAATAAGATTTGAGTGGTATGCATGTAAATATGCTTAAAAATATAAAAAACACAAGTTTAGCTATTGGATATGTAAGATTTGAGTGGTATGCATGTAAATGCCAAAACTTTTTATTTTTTAAAATTATTTAAGAGGTATTTTGAGTGGTATGCATGTAAATGCTAAAACTTTTTATTTTTTAAAATTATTTAAGAGGTATATGTATAAAAAATACAAGTTTAGGAGTTAGATATGTAAATAAATAACATTTGAGTGGAATGCGTGTAAATATTCCTAAAATATAAAAAATACAATTTTAGGTGTTAGATATGTATATAATAAGATTTGAGTGGTATGCATATATAAAAAATACAAATGTTCAAGCGTTATATATGTAAATAAATAAGATTTGAGTGGTATGCATGTAAATTTTCCTAAAAATCCACATAGAAGTTCTCCTTGCTACCTTTAGTCCCACATCGATAGCTCTGCCTTTAGAAATTATTCATATCTATATTAAATGAAGACCTAGCATTCAATGGATTTTCAAAAAAAAATTATGTATTATCTCAAAATTTCAAATCCTGGGTAATAGATTTCCCAAAAAAAATAAAAAAATAAATATAAAAGCGGTTCATTTGAACCGCGATTGGTTCGACGGTTCTCTAGTTGAACCGCCAGTTTTGTCCAGTTTTAGCCAGTCCCATACAGAAACGGTTTTTAGCCTGCCCAGAACCGTACCACCAACCGGTTCACAGCCGAACCAGTTGAACCAGCTAATTCGATCCGGTTTTTTAAACCTTTGGTGTAACTGAGCCTAACTTGGGCGCAGTCCAATAAGTGGCTTGTGTGCTTAGTTCAACAAGTTAACAAGCGAAACTCAAGCTATCTGAGACTCAGCTTGTTAACTCGTGGTTTGACTCGTCTAAAAAAACATTAATATAAAATATACTCGAAATATATTAAAATTCAATAATTTATCATTAAATTATAAAAAATAATATTTTACATTTTATATCAAATGATTTCTTATTATTTATCTCCCAATTGCTCAATTTATTTGACGTTTTATTATAATACCAACTTGAATTAATCAATTCATTTGACGTTTTATTATAATACCAACTTGAATTAATATTTTTTCCCCTCTCATTCATGATAAACAAATCGATTTGTGAGCCAGATCAAACTCATAGAATTGAGCTCGAGCTTGAACTCCATTAATTAATTAAGATCAAGCTCAAGCCAAGGGTGACTTTAGCTCAACTCTCGTTTACACCCTAACTCGGACAATGTTATTTTTTGAATACCTCTATGCGCATCACTATTCTACCTTTCGATTTACTCCTCCAGGAGAGAAAATGGGTTGTCGAGAATATCATATAAGAGTTTAAGGTTACTCGTTAAAGTGGAACCGACGATGCGTGTTTTGTCGTATAGAGGAGGATAGAATTGGAAGGCTTTAATAATCTTTGTAGAAAAGCTGACAACACTTTTAGAGACAATGTAAGGAACGTAAACATACACCTAGTAGCAGCCTTTTGCGAAACAAAACATACCTCGAACAATTAAATTTTTGAGGTTTCCAAATATTAAAATTGTGCATGTGGATAGCTCCAAGTTGTGTATGTGTAGTCATTTACAATTTCCCCTACTAATCACACTAATATATATCCAAATAGAAGCAATATGAAAGAATCTGCCAAAGCATTGGACACAAACATACAACATGCACCTATGGATTGCATCATTCTCAAAAGTAAGTTACAACCAGGATGAAACAATGACAAACAGAAAGTATCGATGAATGCCAAAAATTAGGACTCAAATTGAAGAGAACTAGTTCAATAAATTTGTTTTTTGATTATTTTTTTCATTTTTTTAAATCAAAGGTGGACTAAGAGCAACTCTTAAGCTACCCATTATGCCTTGAAAGGATATACAAACTTGGATCAAGAAACAAAAAATATTTAATAGTAATGCCGCACAAATCAATTTTCACCCAAAACCTACAATGGTGACACTTGCTTAGGATATGTGTCTCCTTTTCATAATTCTTTAACAAGTGGTTCGTCATTCGCTTCATAAAAGGATATGACATGTATGAACATGCATATTTGAGATGTTCTCTATTATGCAAACGGAATGGAGTTGTAGGACCTAAAGCTAAAAAGGAACTAATTGGGGTCCGGCATGACCATGAAACTCCTTTCGAATATCCAAAGGGCCTGTTGCTCCACCATCTTGTACTTTTGCAATTTCTAAATCTCAAAATCAAAAAGATACTAAATGTAAAAGCAAAAGGAAATCAGAACAAGACTACACTATTCGAAAGAGCTATATAAAAAAGTCATATATAAAACAAATTGAACGTTAAAAAGAGAAACTGAAGCACAATTCATTCAAAATAAATCAAATATATGAAAAAAATATATATAACATACTCCTCTGTCAATGTCGTCGGTCTTTTTGTAGACGGGTCAGCCTGTAAACGTACCGGCTTATTAAGTGAGAGGACAACAAGCCGATCAACTTCTTCAGTCATAGTAGCCGAAAAAAGCATCGTTTGCCTCCTCTTTGGGCACAAGCGAATCTGAAAATAAATCAACATCAATGAAAAAATGGCTATTAACTCCCACATATTGCTAAGAACAGAGCAAATCAACTATAATATGCCCCCCCAATATATTCATTAAAAGTGAAAGATTTTAGTAATTTTCAGAAGCAATTTTTGGGAACTTGACTAGAGTCAATGAATCAAAAATGGCATTACAAGCATATCATAAGGAAACAACTTTAAAGATGTAAAGGGATATTGCACTCACAAATTTTAAGATTCTTCCATTTTAAAGATTACACGCAAGAAATATAGCAACATACAAAAATCAGGTTATGTCAAACAGGTTGACGGTGAAAAGAAAGGCAGGTGACAGTACCAAGAACGCTTCATCAACAACAGCGTAGAGAAAATTTGGCTCAATTATATCTTCGAAAAAAATCGCATATACATGAAGTATAATACTTATTAGATTATTTAGTAGTTCATTGTGATAGATAAATTGTTAACAATCCAATCATCGAGTCATCTATAAACTACAAACAAATGCATGGCAATCTAAAATTATGATATGCCAATTCTTGATGAAACTACTATGGCATCATCAGCTATGTCCCAGCGAAGCGTGGCAGATATTTCCTAAGTTATACATGTTACAGATCTCCCAAACATCACAGCAAAGCACAACCCCCTAACAATGCATGTTTTTATCAAAATATTACGTGCTTAGAAAATATATGAATTCATGCGTAGCTTCAATCATCTTTCCCAGTGCTTAGAAAACATATGAATTCATGCGTAGCTTCAATCATCTTTCCCATAGTCACTAAAATCAACTTATTAACAATTAAATAAGTTTCCCATGAGAAGTGAAATGGTTCAAACATCTAAGTATGGATGCAAATTTGTGCATGAATTACATAAATAATTAAAAAAATGCCTTCTTAAGGAGCTACAGAGGTGTATTAGAATTCTACTCCTTGACTAGCTCTCTCATATATATTCAATCGTATAATGAAATTTCTAAGAGAGGAACCTTTCACATTGTATGGTAGGCAAAAAAGAACTGCAAATTTAAAAAGAATTTGAAAGAAGCAAAATGATCCATGAGGCTCCAAAATTAGAACCAATTGTTCACCATGCAGACCCAAATTCAATACGTAGCTTTTAGAACCTCCTAGAGGGTTCCAAGAATCTTCCAAGGCAAGCCCAACCAAATCCAGCCATTGATTTTTTATCAAGAAATTTCAAGCTAAAGTATTGTCATGGTTTGATGTGGACAGCCACCATGTGATGCATTTCGAGTGTCAGAATCAATTTTGGTGGAATTTTAGACTCTACTATTGCCACTGATCCTTTAGAATGGTTCTTTTGCTGCTGAAATTGGATTTAAATCTGCAAAAAAAAAAAATGATAGACAACCACTTAAATTGCAGGCCCAAGAAAAATGTGGGCAGCCACCAAGTTATGCATTTCGAGTGTCAGAATCAATTTTGGAGGAATTTTAGACTCAACTACTACCAATGATCCTCTAGAATGGTTCTTTTGCTTCTGAAATTGGATTTACATCTGAAAAAAAAAATGATAGACAGCCACTTAAATTGCAGGCCCAAGAAAGATGTGGAGAAAGGGTAAGAACTTCGTCAATCAATTGTAGTGAAATCCCAAATTCCGCTACAATCTTCTCCCTTACTCAACTTTCCAAACTTAGAAAATCCGCCCAAAAAACAAGGAATCCATTCAAGAAAACCTAAACTAAACTTCACCAAAAAAACTTTAAAAAAAAACTCATTATTTATAGGCTAGCTACTCCAATTGACATCTAGAAAAAAAAAAAAACTCATTTTCTTTTTTAAAGGCATTGTGTATTTATAGGCTAGCTACTCCAATTGACATCTAGAACCCCCAATTACTAAATTACCCTGACATTAAAAAAAAAATCAAATTCATTAATAAAATAATTAAGCATACATCACAAACTTTGTCCTCAAAATGGGAGTTAAATATCACAAGTCTCACCAGTTACAGTGAACATTCTAAAAAAAAAACTTCCATCATCATGCAAATTGCAATCTCTACAAAAGAAGGCACTGCCATTGTCAACAATGATTACAATGAGATTACATGGCAAATCACCTATAGAAACACGCATAAATATAAAAATGCATAAAATGCATAATCAGCAAATTAACGATGCATAAGGACCTTCTTGATATCTCACAACATGTTTAAATTTCAAATTATGTAATATGATATGGTATTAGCATTTACCCCAACGGGAAAAAACAATAAGAAAGCAGAAAATATGCATGCAACTGACAGTTTAGAGTGAAATTACAAAAATACCAATTCTTGAATTTCACCACTAAAGCCAAGTTCCAAAAGGCGATCTGCCTCATCAAGGATTAGAACAGCAAGATCTTCTAGCCCAACTGACTGGGAGTTCCTCAAATGATCAATAATGCGCCCGGGAGTTGCAACAACAATATCAGGCATAGATCTTAGGGCCACCTCTTGAACCTGCAAGTTCAAAAGTATCACTGCCGAAAACAAATGTAATGCAAAAAATATAGCCAATGAAAGAGAAATATTGATTGAAATGAAATAAATCAGTCCCATAAAATTCACATAGATCTGTTGTGTTATCTGCTTAAGCAAAAATCACAGCTTAAAGTCAATCAAGCACAGAAATTATAAGAGAACCGAGCATGATTTGAGGTGGCTAAATAGATGAGAACATGGGTTATAAAAATATTAGATGCAAATGATATATGAATAGCAAGCTTTAGAATATTCGCATGGTTGCATCCAGCATAAGATCCAAGTATTCACAGGTATAATTTCTGGCACACATAAAATAGTAGAGAAATTTACATACATACCGCATAATTCTTATGTAGTTACATATTAAAAAGCTGAAGTTTGATATTTACACTTATAACACCTTGGTGTCAAAAACCTCTGCAGAAAAAAAGCATGTTTCACTTTTAAAAATATAGTGATTGTGACATTTTTTTATGTCATGTTAAAAATTTAAGTAGTTTAGGTGTAAATATAAATGTTCAGGTGTTAGATATGTAAATACATAAGAATCATGGGGCCTGTACGTAAATGCCCCAAAATAGTATTATGAGATTAAAGCAAAGTTGGCAAACACCAACGAAGAAACATGTCATCAAAATAATCAGAAACAGATAAACATAAAAATTAAAAAGGAAGGCAAAATACAATAGATGCTGTGCTTTTTTTATGATAAGTGCTTACAAATCTCTCAACTCTAGAAAAAAAAAATCCATTTTTCACGTGATAGGATCAGAATGATAAACAAACAGAATGTCAAACCTTTGATGAAAGGCCTCCAACAACAAGACAGCACCTAATATCAGTGAATTGAGAAAGCTTCACAATCATACTATGCACCCTGCATTGCAAAAGGTAGCTCTATTTTAAGAAATTTTAGTTAGAAATTTTCAGAAAACATAAGAACTACAATCTCAATAAAATATAACATTGAAACACTAATTCAGAAAAAAAACCCACATATATAAGAAAAATAAACTTGGAAAAGCAAATGAGTAGCAACAACAACAACAAAACCTTAATCCCACTGCGTGTGGTCGGCTACATGAACCTTTTCTCTCCGTTGCATCCTATTTAGTGTCATATTTTCATTATGAACCTTTTTTCTCCGTTGCATCCTATTTAGTGTCATATTTTCATTTAGTTCTAATAAATTAAGAAGGAAAAGCAAATGAGCATTAAAATTAAATTCTTGTTATAAGAAAATAATATTGTACTACCACCTCATCATATCCCGCCTTCACATCCATTAAGGCATATTTCCATGCCACTTTTAATTATGAAGTAGTTTACAGCCATACAAAATCATTGCACTCAGGTAAGAAAATAAGATTATCCAGAAATATAAATTAAAAACTATATATGAATTGAATTTGTAGTAAATATTCATATTTTAAAATGATATTTGTGCTTTTCTAGAAGAGCTGAAAGAAAATATTTGATATTTCTGAATCTTACCTTATTTATTGAATCTACTAACATAAATTAATGCCTTTCACTGTCTTTTGGTTTCAAACCTGCGATCCAAGTTACATACTAAAAGCAACACACCACTTAACCAGCAATTTCACAATTTGGATAATGGGTAAAGATAGCATTTCAAGTTAGTTTCAAATTAACCTAATGTTTTGTTAATTTTTTTTAAAGTGACATTATCTATACTTCCTCTCGAAAATATAATAACATATAATCGTAGAAATATAATAAACCAAAACAAAAATAAATAATGTAACATGATTATGATTCATAAATACAAAAACTTATAATTACAAAATAGTTATACGATGTTAAATCTGCTTCTTTTTCATAATCCAAATTTGATAATAAAGCATATGATAATCTATATTATAATAGCTTGATGTTTATTATATCTTTTTTAGGTGTCTGATTATCCAATATCATTGTAAAAAATAGCATTATAAATGCATAGAACATTAAGCACAATTAGAAATATTACAGTTATCAAGCTGGCCCCAAGGCATGATTAGGTTGTACTAACACATTATTACAAATGTTAGGAGGAAAGATATTTATTGGTTCATAAAGTTGTCAAATACTTAAAATTATTTTAATTTTAAAGGTTGTCATGAATAAAATATTTTAAAATTGTCAAAATATTTATAACTAACTTAAAGCTGCCAAAAGAGATCATCCAACAATCCCCATAACATCAAGAATCTCCACAATGAACATGAAATACAATGGTAATGAAAACATGGAACAACATGAGTAATAATATAGCTATCATCAAAACACCTCAACTTCTATGACAGCATAAATTGCATCACTGTACAGAGTACTAGATACTTAAGAAAAAATTCGCTGTCTCCCATTTATTTTAAAAAGAAAGTAAAACAAAGAAATTTAAATACCTACCATAAAATTCTTATGTATTTACATATCTAAAACCTAAAGTTTGATATTTAACTTTATAACACTTTAATGTGATAAAAGTATGCATGAAAATGTGTATTTCACTTTTAAAAAGTTAGTAATAGAGGTATTTTTAATGTGATGTTAAAGATTTGAGTGGTATGCTTGTAGATATCAAAGTTTAGTTGTTAGGTATGTAAAGATACAAGAATTGTGTGTGCCCCAAAGAATTGTTGTTCATCTGAAGCTACTTGCAAGAAAATACCCTCTATGCATCAAAATTGTGTCATACTAAATAAGGAAGATAATTCCCTCCCACAATAAAACAATAGTCCCCTCACTTTTGCATAGATTATTTTAATTTCAGAATTTATAAAAGTTTCAATTTAGTCCCCAGACGCTTTAAAAAAGAGTTGAATTCAACCCTAATTTAAAGAACTTAAGACTTTTTTATAGACTATGGGACTAAAAAGATAGCATGCAAACAATCAGAGAATTATTTTGACATTTTACTCATAACAATAATATTGTACAACTAAGCAAGTTTCACCAAAATCATTAAAGAGACATAAAAATAACAGAATATGAGTATTAGACTTACTGAACAGCAAGCTCACGAGCAGGAGTTAAAATTAGAACCCTGATTGCATGGACGTGCTTTGGCCGGAAAAGCAAACGCTCCAACACAGGCAAGGCAAAGGCAGCGGTCTGGTTGGTGAAACCAACGTAGAAAATAACTTGTAAAACTTACATATTTAAGCAAATAAACAAGCACGTAACACAAAACAAAAAAAAGTACCACGAAAATAGAGAAAGCTCTAAGTTATTACCTTTCCAGAACCAGTTAAAGCACTACCACAAATGTCACGGCCAGTTAAAGCTAAGGGTATGCATGCAGCCTACATTAAACAGATAGAATAGCCAAACTTCAGGAAACAGAGAGTGCTAACAAGAATTATAGTGATTGTGAATGGTAGGCTTAGAAATCAAAATTATCATAAAATAAGCACTAAATCAGTGCGGAAATTGCAATTTAAGGGTTTCAGATCAAGTTCACAAGTGACCCAAGATTGACCCAACCTGAAATTGGTTGATCTAAAGCAAACCCGAATATTAAAAGTATTAGAAAGTCCAACCCGAAGTACAATAACTATTCGTGCCAAATTCGAGTCAATTTAGAGTTAATTTTGGGTCAATTTCGGGAAATTTTGAATTGTTATGCCAGCCCGAACTTGACCCATATAATTAAATGGTTTAGGATTCTTAACCCGAACCCGAACCAAAAATTATTCAGGACAGCCCGAACCTGAATCTTTCAAGTCGAGTTCAAGTTGAGATGGCATGTCGGATCAATTTTTGACAGCCAATTGCAATGTGTGTTTAATCACAAATACATCATAACATGGTAACTCGGGCAGTGACTAGCACAATTAAAGGAAAAGACAGAAACCTGAATTGGAGTTGGTTTATGGTACCCCAAGGCTTCACATGCCTTAAGTAAAGGGCGTGACAGATTAAGCTCAAGAAAAGAATTTGCATGAAATGAAGCTCCTTCAGCTGATGCAAAAAAATCAGGAGTACCCGCACTAGTGTTTTCACTGAATTTGTTTTCAGATGGAAGACTTCCCTAACAAAAATATAAATGGTCATTCAGATAAATACATACATCTAAATGCAAATTAGAATGCATGCATCGCGAAAAGTAAAACCTAAAGCATAACATAAAATCAAGAAAAATAAAATAAAATAATGATAAACTTTGAATGAATTTTATTCAATCGTATGTTCAAATAACATCTTAAAAAGAATCAAATAACCAACCAATAGATGAGCAATATCATAAATGCGTAAAAATATGCATCCATCTGAAAAGAACACTCGCAATGAAGTTCCAAGCATATTTATAGGGCATATAATTATTTAGAATGTAAAACAAAATCAAAATCAACAAACTTTCACATTCAAAATAAAGGTAAATATTATCCATAATAGATGTGGTACTTAACAATGTTTTCACTGATGCTTGAGAAGATCTAATAACACATTTCTTTCCCATTAGATGCATTCATCAATGTTGTACCCATGAAGATAAAGCAATTTTCTTATGAGAAAAAACAAGAAAAATATGATTTTTAAGGATCAAAAGTTCTCTACAACATGATGGAAAAACACCTTGTTATTTGTCAGTGAGCATGAACAAATATGTTTGAAATTTCAGTAGGCCCTATGTGTATACAATTAAATAAAAAAAGGCGAAAAAGAACATAAATAAACACACCAACATGTGAAAAGCATAGAAACTTGAGCTAATGTTAAAGCAACATTACATCTCCTGTTACCAAAAATGTTAGTTTCAAAGTTATAGATTACATTTTTCAGCTAGCAGTAAACTCATACTAGACATAAATATTGATAATGAACAAACCCAATAAAATTATAAGAGAATTGATGGAGCCACAGCTTGTTATAGATAAAATAAAAAATGCATAGTACATCAAAACTCGTGAATTTGTGGGATGTAAATATTCATTTATGAAATTTCATTGAAAAAAAAAGAAAAAAAAACACACAGAAGAATCGCAGCCGTTTCACTGTAAACAAAACACATCTCAGAGAAGCTAAATTAGCAGCACATGCTTCCATCTCGCCTACTATGCAATTCAATAGAGCATATACAGCATATCTTTACGAGTGCAAACAAAGCAAATGATAATATTTCTTTCATTTTATGCCAAAATATCGATAAGACTTACCTGCTTATGTGCTTCGTCCTCGGATTCATCAACGCTTTCTTCTCCTTCTTCTTCTTTTTCTTCTTCTTCTTCTTCTTCTTCTTCTTCTTCCTGGTCCTCCTCTCCTTCCTGTTGTTCGCCTGTTTCATCCTCCTCAACGTCTTCGCTATCATCATTATCAACGCTTCCATTGTCTTCCTCTTCTTCGTCGTTGCTAGGCACCGATACAGGGCGGCTATGGAGAGCTTTCGAGATCTTGGCATCAACAGAGGTGGTCCTCCGCCTTTCGTGCTCATCATAAACAGACTCGGAATAAGAACCAAACTCCCAAGGAGATTGAAAAGCTCCTTCTTCTCTGTCCGGTTCCTCGTCCGAGCTTCCGCCGTCGAAACAAAAACCGGGATCCATCTGCGCCAAAAAGCGACAGAAATTCCAACTTTAGGTGCGTTTGGTAGCAAGATTTAAACGAAATCCTGCCAATCAGCAATAATCTCTTTTCTCCTCCGCTTTGCCCTAAATCCAGGATTCAGCAAATCATGTTAGAATATAGATTTACAGGACAAATTTAAGCCCGCGAATGAAAGAAAAAAACGAAAGTTACCTTCGAGATAGATGTATCGCGTATAAGAGGTGCTGAAGGGGAGAAAGATAAGAGCTTCAGAGCTCGTCTTCTTCTTCGAACACTGTGATCCCCTCTCCGCCTTCAAAGAAAACTCCAGTCGCCGTCGCCGCTGTGCGCGAGGGTTTCGAGCGGGAACGAGGGTAGGAGATCGCGCAGCGGGTTATTAATGAGTTAATTTAATATAATTCAAGTTGAATATAATTCATTAGTTGATTATAAATGAGCACATTTCTTAAACAGATTTAATTTAATTAATTTGTGCATAATTGATTTAAACTTAATAGAAAATAATTTTATTTTTAATTAATAAAAAACAAATAATTATCAAGATTTTATTAGTGAAGCTAAAATTAGGT